AACACTGCGGTAGCCACTGTCCACGCTGCGGGGGACATCGCACGCTGTGACGTACGGAATGCGATGCTTTTTTGTTAATTTGATTTAGGTTAAGGATAAGGTGTGATTTAAATTGATTTAGCGAAAAAAATAGTATGAATTACTTTAGTAAAAGTGTCAGTAAAGGCACTTTTATGAATTTCAATATTGTTAAGTAACTCACAATAATAAAGAGAAGAAGACAATTCATACGAATGTAGAAGTATGAGAGGTGTATAAGGACCGCGCAAGATAAGCATCCGTGGCCTCTGCCTATCGCTTTCGGTAACGGGCGTGAGTTAAATTGTAGTCTTAGAAGAGAAGTTCATGTTGGTCTAATAAAAACTTTATATTTCTGCAGCTTTATGAGATAACTAATTAAACAATGTTTACAAAATGGATTTTTAAAGTTTACCAAAGTAGTAAAAAATAAACCATCCATATGTTCGGTCAATTCAAGTCAACCCTTTATTTGCCGACGAGGGCTTCGGACTCCCATTATAATATTTAACGCTAAACAAACAACGGATTTTGGCGTCCAAATGACTTCATTCGGGATTGCGTCCATTGTAACGGGTTAAGTGGTTCGGCGACCAAAAAAAATGGACGCTGTTTAAACTAGGACTACATTCTGCCATAACTTTGATAGTTGTTAATAGTTTTTTTTATACACCGAAGAAACGACGCGGAGTTAATATTGATAGTATCAGAAACTGATCTTTAGATACGATACCTGATATATTTAAATCAACCTTGCTACGCCAGTATTATTGACTTTTTATATAGGTCCAGCAGTGGCCTGATCTGGGCTGATAGAAGGATGCACAACGCAGAGTGTTAGGTAGCAAATGAAGGTTTCAATTCAGACCTAGTTTGGTATAACTTTTTATTTCTTATAATTCCTTTATACTTAAAATATTTTGTGGTAAAAGTTATGTTAAAATTTAAAAAGTTAAAATTTAAAATCTTACTAATATTATAAATGTGAAAGTTTAGATGGATGGATGTTTGTTAGTTTGTAGCCTAAACGGCTGAAGGGATCTCGATGAAATTTGGCTTAGCTGTAGAGGATAGTTTCGAAGAACACATAGGCAATTTGCTTTTGTTTTTTTTTATGCCGCGCAGACGGAGTTGCGGGCGAAAGCTAGTGTGTAATAAGGGATGAACAAATCATCGAAGGGTTAGAACAGTTTAGCTAACATATACTTACTTAACGCTTATTTATGTAAATTAAGTTTGTTTACATAAGCGGCACTTTGTTGTCTTGTGGGTACAGGGTGGAAACGACCAATTCACTTAATGCCTTCATTATCAAGGGTAAAGGCTAAACGGTTTATAATATTATAATTTAACTTTTATGATGTTTGTATAAATAACTTTATTTTGTAAACATAACATTATATTTTTCATTTTTGTCTGCACTAAATGATATCCTTAGTGAGCACTTAATAGCTCAGAGTTATTTGGCAAACGAGTAAGCCCCCATTTAGATTCGTCAAAATGGTGAAACGACCATTATAGACATCTTTGAACAACGGAGATGACGAGTAGGAGAGGAAATATTCTCTTCTTATTTATTTTGGGAATAGCTTTCACTTGAAGCCTGTCTTCTTTGCAGTTGAAGTATTGCGGGGGCGAGCTGGCCAATTCGTGCCACAGATGTGGGTATTGCTACCGTCTACCAATGTTAAAATAGAATATGGCTATGGACTCTATTTTACAGCAATAATTCAGAAAGCAAAACAGAAGCGAAATTTTAAAATTTATGTTAGTATGGTTGGAGTTTTATAACTTGATGTGACACATGTTATTACAGGTGCTAAGTATAATTTTATAGACAAAATAATTAAGAAGCCTGACAAAATACAACATATGGAAAGGATCCATAAACAACTAAAACAGAACAAAAACTTGTAATGTGTTTAACGCGTCGATTTGTAAACTCTTTATCTTAAAGTATTACGAACCCTCACATATGCCGTTTCCCATCGTCTAAAGAACACCCGATATCCTGTTCAAATTCGTATTATCGATATTCGGGGATTGTTCCCGAAATTCGCGTCAAAGCCTACCCCACTTCCTTAGCCCGCACGTGTCCGCGGCGCATGCGACCGTTTTTGCAATCCAACAAACCGACTAATGAATTGTATAGCTTTCTTTTTCTATCGTATAGTTTTATGGTTTATTAGAGAGGGAGGTGAAATGCAACAGTTGGTACGGCGTCTGCTGCTGCCATATGTTGCTTTGAGGTTTCGAAAATTACCCGCCAGTTGGTGGCAAGATGGCGGACTGTGAACACTGTTTTGTCTATTAATTACACGTTGGATGTCGCGCGTGCTAGCTGACTTCTGGATAAAATAAATAAATAAATTTTCATTTAGATTTACAAGGAGTTTTACTGATGTAAGAGAATATCTCCGTCTATGTTCTTTAGCTACAAGATTGAACCAAGAGGTGGTTGAGAATGTTGAAAAAATTTCGTGTAAAACTCTTAATTCTTTTTCTATTATTTACTTCTATCCATCCAGTCTTCATTCCATATTAGAAGTTATATTTCACAAAATCAATGGATCATACACCTGAGAGCTAGAACACATAAGTTTTCGAGATAGACGTCATTTTAAAAATTGTCATTGTCGTTACAAAAATTATCGCAAATTTATATGCTAGGACCTCTGATGGTACACCCTATACTGTATTTTAAAGCTATCAGATGCTTTAGATTACATAGTAGACTCACAGAATTCATTTGCAAGTTTAGCTTCTTTACAAAGTCAAGGTTAATTTTGTAGTCCAGCTTATAAAACTCAAAGTTTCTGTAAACATTGGAAAGGTTAAAATATTTATCCAACAGTC